CATGTCTGCGCGAAGGACGCGTTCTCCAGACTGGGGGATATCGCGGTAAGATTAGAATTATCATTTCAGTTTTTAAGTTATCTAAAGATTACAATTCGAACCCTCTATGCTTCATTTTTTATCATTTAAATTTCAAAAAAAAAAAAAAAAAAAAATGAGGCAATAGATAATTAATTACAAAACTTTTTTTTGCATTGAATATTCCTTTTTTCAGAAACTGCTTGAATTATATGTCAAGTTAAGTAACATTCTTGTATTTGACAAAAATTGTTCTTTTCCTTCTTAATTGAATGAAGTATTGGTAATTGCAGTCTTGTTTTAAAAGCATGCTTAAATATCCGACTTATTGCATCATCATTTCTATAAACACATTATACAGTGTTAAAGTGTACAAGTGTAAACTATTCATCTTTGATGTGTTAAGAAAATATTCGTATTTTAGCTACCAAATTTTCTTCTAGGGGTGCAACTATAGGACAAATTTTCTGTACTTTTAGTGAATAGAAAGGTTAAATCTTTTTGCCTGACCTACTGCAATACTTTCACTGCTCTCATGCACGTGTCGCAAAGAGAGAAAAATATTACAAATTATTTCATACATTGCCACTAATCGAATACGTTGTACCTTCATGGAGGTGGCAACCCTATTTTGAACATATCTGGTTAAACTTAAAGTAAAACATCACTCATTATCATTGCCAATATTAGAGGTCAAAGGTCATAGTGAAAATGGGGATTTGTGATTTGCAGCAGTATTTTTAATTTACACTTCATTAAAAGCATCTATTATTATACCTCAGAAAATCTTTTCTTTATAAATCAAAGATAAATACATGTATAAATTTTACCTTTTTCTGATCTACAACTGTTGTTATATTTGTCGATGGTCATACTTTTGAAGAGAGTAGTCGGTGGATAGGAGATACTTACTCCTCCACTGTACCTGATCCCACCTCTGATGTTTTCCAAAGGTCCGTGTTTTGCCATGTTCTTGACTTGTGTTGTTTATCAATCTATGCATTAGACTGATTTCTGTTCATTTTCTCCACCTTTTCACTTTAAAACTGCATTTCTGTACGAGTTTTCAAATTTTGGTATAAAGAAATAAATGTACATAATGTCTAATCGGAAACAAACAAGCTCAATAACACCCCCCCCCCTTTATAGAAATATTAACCTCAGTTACTTGTCGAGAATTAATTGTTGTCTTGGGGTCAATATTTGTGTCATCAAAGCTTTTAAATACACTAGATACACTGTATGTACTTTACAATACTTCGATTCTTGCATACAACATGTGTATCCTAAACCTAGACCCATTATGGAATGAACAACACTTAAAAAGTCAAAGAAAGTGCAAAACACTGTCTAAGTATACAAAGATATACTACAGTAGTAATCGTAATCAGTCTATTGTCAATGATTACTCTACCAAACAACATTTCTCTTACATACATATACCTGTTTTCCATGAATGAATTCTTATTTTAATAGTTCAGACATCGATTTCCCAACATTGTATAAAGGACCTAAGGTTGGTTCCCTTTCCGCAAAGTCTCTCTCTCTCTCTTTCTCTCTGTTTAGTGCACTAATACTCTTTCACATGCCTTTCATTTTATTTAAATCATTTTAGTTATAAAAGTGGATTCTTTAGGAATATAATTTCATTTTATCTTCAAATAACAAAAATCACCGATAATATATCTAAATGAATTTGACAGCTCTTTAGCATAAATCCTTTTAAAACGTTTTTTACTGCAGGAAAATCATAAACTAGAATGAAGACATGTAGAACATTTTTTTGGCCATATCAGTTGCATAATAAATCATTCGTCGTTTTTTATATTCTAGAAAAAAAAGTTGAATTGACACAGCTATGAATAGATTTATCGTTCCTATTATAGATTTACAGATGTTTGCACTGTGATACCTGACACAACAAAGTTCATCATTTGATTACTTAATCTGACACTATCTCCCGCAAAGAAGGGTCATAGTTCTATTGAGTGGTTCATGCTACATTTGACCTTGTTAATACTATATTCGTACATAATTCAAGATAAGGATGTTAGGTTCCTACCAATTGAGATAAATCTTTCACTGTTTAGACTTTATATACCCGCATTTTTTAAAGAAAGTTCGGTTAAATTGTTGTTACCCTGGTCATCCATCTGTAACACTATCTTCTTCTGCAAGCTCCTCTTACATTTTAATAGTACTTAGCCAGTTCGTCTTTCGGCAGCCTCTGCATGGACCTCGTCCTTACGAATTTTCGTTTCTTGATGCTGGCAGCTCTGATAGCCAGTTCGTCTTTCGGAATACATGTATGATTGGTGGTGTCCGTAGATGTGCAATAAGGTTTCAGAATTTTCGTTTTCACCCTGGGGTCCATTGGGGTTAAATAAACGAAACAGAATTTCTCTTACATTTTACTCACTACTTAGCCAAATAATCCTTGGAATTTGATGTGTAGTGTCCTGTAGATGTGCAGTAAGCTTTCAGAATTTTCATAGGGGAGGCCGATTGGGGACCCAAAAAAAACCATATCTCCAGAAATCCTCTTACATTCTACGCAGTAGCCAATACAACTTTAAGAATATGATAGGTGGTGTCCTGTAGATATGTAATAAGGTTTTGGAAATTTTATTTCTATCCAGAAGGCCAAATAAGGTTCAAAAATTTTATTTACTTCTTCACACAAAAACTTTCTTTCCAAAACCCCTTATGCTTTATTAAATTCTTCAGTTTTGGTTTATTGTTTGAAATACTAACATAACAGGCCAATGCTCACCTGGACATGTTATGTAAATTATGGAATAGCTATTGTTACTTTTTCACTGGGTGCCTTGGTAAAATGAAGAATAATTTTGTAGGCAAACACTTAAACGCAGGTATAACTGTCTTAAGACAGCATCTACTTTATATGCAATTAATGACACAATGTTCAAAATGTGATAGTATTAGCCTGAAAATAATAATGGCTATCTTTCTATTCACAAATAAATCCATGCTAAATATCTTATCAACTGCAACGAAGTTGGGGGCAATGCAATGTTGCTTGTATGAAACGCCAAATTGACATATATTCAAATATTTGTACCTTTCTTCAATTAATTGAACCTATCTTCAAATGAATTGAAGATAGGTACAATTGAATTAAAGATATACCTAAATAAATTGAAGATAGCTGTAAATAATTACATCTATCTTTAGACAATTGAACCTAGGTTTAAATTAATTAATCCTATCTTTAATTCCATTAAAGGTAGGTTCAATTTAATTACGATAGGTTTAATTCAATTATGCCTATCTTTATATCATTTGAAGATAGGTACGATTGATTCAAAGATAGGAACAAATTAAAACATCTCCACAAAAAATTTGAAGATAGGTACAAATCAATTATACCTAGGTCAATTCAAATTCACCTATTTTTCAATCAATTATACTTACCTTTAATTCTTAGTATTTTTATCTATATTCAATTCTATTATACCTATCTTCAAAACAATTGTAGCTATCTCCAAATGAATTAGAGTTAGGTATAATTGAATTAAACCTATCTCCAAGTCATTTAGAGATAGGTAGAGTTGACTTGAAGATAGATACTAATCGAACAATTGTACCTATCTTCAAATAATTGAACAATCTCCAAATAAATTGAAGACAGGTACAATTGAATTAAAGATAGGTCTCAATAAATTAAAGATAGGTTTAAATAATTACACCTATCTTTAATAATTGAACCTAGGTTCAAATGAATTGCACCTATATTTAATTCCATTAAAGACACGTTCAATTCAATTACAGATAAGTTACAGATGAATTATACCTATCTTTAGATCATTTAAAGAAAGGTCCAATTAATTTTAAAAAATGTACAATTCAATTAAAGATAGGTACCATTAATACATCTCCATAAATCAATTATACCTAGGCTTAATTAAATTCAATTGCACCTATCTGTAAATAAATTATACATACCTTTAACTCTTATACTATTTGTACCTATCTTTAATTCTGTTATACCTTTCTTCAAAACAACTGTACCTATCTCCAAATAGATTTAAACTTCAATTCATTTGGAGATAGGTACGATTTATTTGAAGATAGGTTTCAAATATTTGAAGATAGGTTTCAAATATTTGAATATATGTTATTTTTGGTTCCATATGTTTGCATTTATTTGTATAGATGCATTTATGCTTTTTTTGTCTTATATGACCAAGTTGTTCGGTGCTATTCCACTCGTCTTTTTATTGTACTTTCTTTCTATTAATATAAATCATTTTATCTAAAAATTGTTAACTATATTCCATATTTCCCCCTAGATATCACGTTTTTGCGGTGTATGTTCAGCGTTTGATAAATATTATATACTCCGCTGTGTTCCTGCATCCCGTATGGCTTCTGTAACCCATGTAAAACAATACTGTCTTCCTTTCTACATGTTTCATTGCAATTATCTGTAGAATCAACATACAGTCTTTGAAGTCTGTTGGAATAAAAAACTCGACAAAAAACGAGAGTACAGGAAAGATAGGCTTAATGATAGTAGCATTATTTGTAGGAACTTTCTAGCCGTTATGAATGAAGTAAAGATGCGTTGCGTCACGGCTCAGTGCAGTGTCTCTTACCTTGCTCACGTGTGCTGATTGACGGTTCTTCATTAATAAACAAGCATATTAATTGTTATATTGTCCAGGTAACAAAGTGAATCTTGACAGTATAGCTTTTTCTTCGGCTGGAGATGCCCACTGATGAAATATTGTTCTTTCTAGCATGCTGGGGTCTCTTTTATACGCCATGCATGGGTAGAGATACATTTGTAAAATAACAAGGCTACAGCACGCTGTCAGCTTAATAGAAACCCTACCGTGCATCTCCTCACTAAAAACTCGTCAAATCCATTTCAACAAAAAATAAGAAATAAGATATGCCGCTGATTGAGCGTAGCGTTGTCTAATTATAACTGCAACTTGTATTATTTTTTATTTCAGATCTGGTATTGAAAATCGTCAAAGTTTCCACAAAAATCTGCCGAAGTGTTCACAAGACGATTCTATAGTTTCTTACGGACATTACGATACAATAGCTAGAAAAAGTAGGTGTTTAAATTGTTGTGATAGAGAAATAGAAAGGAAGTATTGGTCAGACCGTTCTTATAATACTCGACAAAGCCATCATAGAACTAATAAAAAGTGTTTAGAGAAGTGGATTACATTTATACAAAGTTCTAAAATGGTTCGTCTTGGAGGAAGGATTCTTTTATTTGTTATTTTAGTGTCAGTGTTTGGAATTATATTTGGAGGCTCCTTTTCTTCACGAGTCAGTGACTCGGACAAAATTCATCTCGGGGAAGAAGCAAAATTAGTAATGGTATGTATTAAATAAATTTCTGCATTAAAAAAAAAGTATTTCATCAAGAAAAGATTGGGTGTATTGTTTTAAACAATGATAGTTTAAACATATTTCCAAATGATTGCAACATTTATTTGAAAAAAAGATGTTCACCTTATAAAGAATATATCTTGGAAAATAAAATAAAAGATTCAACAACATTGGCGACTGAATTTTTTGAAACGTTGTTCACAAAATATAATTAATACATTCGGGGACTTTTTACTAATATGGTGTAATTAAAAGTATGTGATAAGTTATTTTATTTATTTTTTTACGTCGGTCTTTAACAATAAAATTGCATTAATTCACGATGATTTGAGATAGAAGAAATTGAAAAAAAAAAAGAAAAAAGAAAAAGAAAACACAGCTTTTGTATATCGCTTCTTTGATAAACAGATCATCAAATTACACGATCTTAACGTTATAGATATTCTTAAAGATCCACGTATTTCTATATATTTAAATAAACTTAGACTGTAATCTTGTTTCATTTTTTATCATATGCAAAACAGAGTGTATGACTCAGCTGATGAATATTAGGTGCAATCTTTGCAGTTCCTGCTATGTCCATTGCGAGATATAATAAAAATTATTTATGTTACATAATTAAATATTTCCCTGTAAGATCTGTGCAGACAGGTGCCATTTTCTGTGAATTGTCAAATATTTATGCTAAATGCTATCATAAATGTGACTAAGTTACAAAACTTCTTAAAGTTTGTGTTATTCTTGGGTGATGAAATTGTAACTCTGCCTGATTGCGTAACGATGATCAAAGATTGAAGGCGAACATCAAATGAAAAAAAAGTAAAAATTTGGACAAACAGGTGCTTGCATTGATTATAGAGATATCTTATTTACTTGATTTCAAATCAGTTTGATATATTTTCTAGGTGCAGATTCCCGGTAAATCCCGTAAATCATAGCACTGTTTTCCTTTATCAATCTGTGCACTTTACAGAACGGATAAACTTTGAACTTTGGGAGAATTCTGAATGGTTCAATTGATAAAATACATTAATATACGTTTATTCAACGACTCCTCTTGTGATAAGACTTTAAGTGTTAATTTGATTTCTAAATATAATATAGATCGATGTAGTCTTTATCTATTTCTGAAGCAAGACACGATTTCTAAAGTATCTGTCTCATAAACAACAAAAAAAAGTTTATGTTAATTGTTCGGGGAATTTCGGGAAAAAACTAAATTTTACCCCCCCCCCCCAAAAAAAAATCGAAAGAGAGCATAGGTTCTGCATTTATTTGGAAAAATCTTTTCATCTAAATTATTATATGTATATATTCTTTACTAATATCAATTGTTTTGTGTAGTATTATAAAGTATTGTTCCCTGTCTGATTCAGATTTTATCTTTTACAGCACAAAATCCAACCGGTAGGATCAAGAGTTTTTCACGAGCACGTAAAAAATGTGTCGAAATACCATATGCACAATTATCACGACATGTTAAGAATATTTTTCAAAAATCCAAGTGACAAAGAAATAGACTTGTTTCTCAAAAGAAAGACATTGAAAGACATTCTGCCTGAAGATGATTTTTCCAAACGAGATTACAATTACGTCAACGACGAAGCTTATTATCCCTTCGATCCGTTAGACCGTAAGTATTTTACAAACAGACAAAAATGACCCAGTCTTTCTGATTGCTTGTATATTTTATTTCATTTTCTCCTAAGCTGAGTAAATAACAAAACACATTATTACAAGCAAGACAAAAAATAACATACAAGTAATGCTTCTTATGAAAAGGTTCAATTTGCCTTTCCAAAATGGTGTTATGCGCTACATCTTTGCATAAGACAGAATGTCATAATCATAGCAAACATTCTATAGTCAATATGCGTGTGCATGCAGAATTAGATAAAATCTTTGGTATGACAAATAAAAATATTGCTTCCATGCACGTGTATTATCGTCTGACATTAAAATAAGATACCTTAATTTGATAAGTAGCAGGTCAGAGATGTTAATTCCTTTTCGTTAATTGGGCTATCTTATTCCAATTAATGTCTTGTCCTACATCATTCAGTGTCCCCCAATGTCCTCCATAAATTAGAAAAATTAAAAAAAAAAGTGTAGGTCAATAAATGGAACTTTTCAATGACCCCTTGTATAAAACGGGGTGTTTCTTGCATTAATTTATTGATATGTTCTGTAACCAGTTTCGTTTATTTCAAGAAGATAGTGGGCGCCCTCCTAAAGATAGTATCAAAAACAGTTATCTTTTGGCAGAGATGTTTGTTAAAGTTCAAGGGCAAACGGCAAAGGTTTTACCATGCTAAAACCATTAGTTATTGTGAGCAGAATTCGTACGGACATTGCATCATAAAAAAACTAAGCTCCTCGTTGCGAAATATATTGTTACAAACGAGCATACCATGCATTGCATATGGAATATGTCATTGCATCATTAGCATGAATGACGAGGAACAGTCGTGGCGTATATCATTCTTTTCATATCAAATTTGAAACTTTTGAAGTTTACAACTGTCACCTGTCACTCACGGGTGGTAGAATAAAGGGAAAGGTTATATTTAAGACCAGATAACATTCAAATTAAGCATATTCTTCAAAGCTTTTCGCGGGAGAAACTATGATCTTCTTGACCTTTTGTCTAACTTTGTCGGCTTACCAACTGAACCCGCCACCGCACCATTACGCTTAGGACTCTGTAGAACGCAATCTTTTCTCAAGCTGCGAAGCCAAATTATATCAGAATTCCATTATCCAAAAATCAATGTTTGCACTCATAATCAATATATAAAGTATGCTGTGATCGTAGCATTGCGTACATTTAAATTGCATAACAAATGTCAGAATTTGAAACTATATTAATTCATTCAGTCAGACTAAGAATTAAACTTCATAAATTCTTTCTGAAAGGCAGTTGATGATTCCAGAGAAGATGGTTCTTCTTGGTCTCTTCGTATTGACACTGTGTAAGGTATTGATGTTAATCATATCTAAATAATGTTTATTTGCCTAATATTGTAAAAAAAATATTCTTTTAACAGTTGCTGACCAAGCCGAGCAGCATTATACACATGTATTAGATCACCCGTATTCATCCTGTCATGAACCAAAACCGGAAGTGATATACATTCCACCGGAAGGACATAAGAAGTTCATTCCGGAATATACTATTCTTCATCGATGTAGAAATACAACCGGGTGTTGTTGGGATAAATCTCAGACTTGTGCTGTTAAAAACCTGGAAATCGTCACACGAAGTTTCTTTGTAAGTGAACTCTGATCGTAAGCTTTTCGTTGCCTTCTGTTTTGAAATAATTGGATAGGTTTGAATACAAGATTATGCAGTGAAACAAGTGTTGTAATTTTTGTATCTGTACCAATTCATGTAACCTAGAAGTGAAAGATATGGCAGTGTTCATTATACATATCAAACAATGCCTTAATAGACTCAAATACACGATTAAAAATAGAATTTACCTGCCATAGAAAATAATTACATATGTGTGAATTTTCAGTAGAAAATAAGCCCGTACATTTTCGTTGTTGTTAACATTTTGAATAAAAAAATTACCAAGCAACTGGTTACAAAGCTCTGGAGAGAAAAATGGAAATTAAACAGAATTATTTTTCAATAAATATTTTTTTTACATTACAAAGGCACTATACTGAAAAATAAGTTAATGATAGAAAGGTGTTCACAATCTCGTTTAACGTCAACAATTCGTAAATTTTATGGTCGATACAATGACCTTGTTTGCAAATACTGTCTATCGTTAAGTTGAATGCTGACTGACTTTCTCATACAACTGATAGGCTATTATTTTAATGCTGAATTGTTTACGGATTTCTCCGTTTACCCGATCGTGACAAGGGGTACACGGCAGGTGTGACCGTCGACAGAGGATGCTTACTTCTCCATGGCACATGATCCCACCTCTGAAATTTGGACCTCTGAGGTCCATGTTTGCTCAGCTCACAATTTGTTTCGCTTAACTGGACCTTTGAGCATGATTAATGTTCGTTTTTTAATATCTCATTGTCTGTATTTCGAAGGTACACTGAAAACATGTACCACGACAAAGTGACTTCTGCCTTGCTGTCGCTTGCAAAAATACAGGACGATGTTTTCGTCATTATATATCGCCAATCAGCGATTCACCTGAACGGGCGACTTGTATGCATGTGCTCCTGGTTGTTTCCAAATACCTTAGATTACAACTATTTTGTGTTTATTGTGTGCGAGAGAGGGAGAGAGAATTATGCGGTCAGTCAATTACTCAACCTCCATTTTCTTTCTCGGTATTCAGAAGGGGAGGGGGGTCTAAACAGTTTAAATCAAGATTGGTGTATGTTGTTTAACATCCCATTCAAGAATTTTTCACTCGTATCACTGTATACCTGTGAAGGGCTTAAAATTATCTGTAAAGGGCTCTCAGGGCCATTAAGCAGTGAGGGATCTTTATCGTGCCGACGCCTGCCGTGACACAGGGCCTGGGTTTTTAAGGTATCATCCGAAAGAAGCACAACTTCAAAGTGCCGAGCGCTTGGCGAAAAAACAGTTGCTTCCTATTTTATCGACTTAGTCAGTCGCAGCCGGGGTTTGAACCCACGACCTTCAGAATACGGAGCGAGCACTCTACCGACTGAGTATCGAGACGATAAACAAAAAAGAGAAGAAAATTAAGAAAGACAAATAAATAAATAAATTAAATATTAAAAAAAAAAAAAAAACAGACAATTAAAGGAAAGAACTTTTTTTAAACGATTAAAATTTTTTGCAAAGGGAAGTGAAAGCTATTTTTAATTTTATTTGCTGAAGAGGATGTTGGCCTTGCTATTTCCGAATCGTCTTAAATAAATAAATATCTATCTGTTGACTTCAATTTTTAGTTTTTACACTTTTTGGGACAATAATATATGCCATTATTGTCTGCTCATACTGTAGGTGGTGATTATTTAAAAAAAAATAGCATAAAGTAAAAATCTGGTCTTAGTCTTATATTATTTTTACTCTCATATTGCATTATATAGCTTAACGTCATTCATTTTCCTTTCACCAACTCAAAAGTACACAACATTAATCTCCTGTCTGGACAATGGGTTCACATACATTTTTTCTTCATATAAGTAACGATATATGCTAGTTATTCCACATTAGTGTCGCATTATATTTAGCATGATGAGGGAATTTGTTGCGGAAATTAGGATAATTTTTATTAGTAAATTAAGTATTTTTTTTTATAAGAATTAGTATTTGATTTAGTCGAATTTGATTTGTGAAGAAAGCTACACTGAAGCAAAAATTGCTCTTTACGAGTTAATTATTTTGGACAGGTTGTAGACATGCTCTCTGATGATACAATTGTACCAAACGAGGTAGAGCAACAGTTCCTCATCAACCATACATCGTGTCATTGTCAGCTGATTAATCCTCAACCAGGGTAAGCAAACTAAGAAAACTACTCTAAATAAGATATTTAACCAACATCGTGACCAGGCAACATATCTGAACGTTTTGAATAAAGGAGCTTTGGCTGTCTGTTTGTAGATGTGATCAACAATGTCCGCATCCATTCCGGAAGGTTAGAGCAGGAGACACATGCACTTGCGAATGTCGGCACGACAGACTGCCGTGTCTCGAGATCAAGTGGGGAATCGAACCTTTAAGCACGGAAAGTTTCAAGTAATTTTTTTTTTTTGTAAAAATGAGTGAGAAATATGTTATATTTATGTAAAGAAGGTCGGGAATTTTTGATAGAATGCGTTGGTTAACCACAAGCCACATGTATATAATTTCAGAGGGAATATTTTTCCTGGTTAATACGTTTTCGTTGAAGACTATGATATTAACAGTGAGATCGATTTTTATGTACTTAAATATATATTTTTGGACACGTTAAATGTGTCTAATGGTTGAGACTTGCACACCGGTGACTATGATCGAAACGTAGAAATTCAGTTCATAGGACTTTTAAAATCCTCAATTTTGAGAAAAAATGCGATGAATTTAAAATCCCATAATTCTAATTTTTACCCTTGGTTATTTTATATTTTAGTTGTGTTAAAGAGAAACGCTGTATGCAACCAACATGCCAAGATGGACAGTTTGATATGAGGAAAGGGTTTTGCCCAGGTACAAATGAGCCATATCCTTACAGGAAACGGCGGAATGTCCAAAGGTAGACGATGACGTCACAGCGTGTTACTGCCTACCTCATCACAAGTCGTAGTCACGTGACTGAAAAAAGTACCTTCATTCATCAAAATGTGTTCCATAAACTATTTATTTATTATATTTCATTTTCATTAGTACAAACAACGTTGTGATGAGTCTAGTCAACGGACATGCGCGAAGTTATAAGTGCCAAAGTTTCCACGTGCCTCGACGCGAGGCGAAAGAAGCGGATCAAGTCCGCCAAGGTTCTACAGGGTTCTAAAGCTGAAATCTGCATTTGTGTTTATCTAATCAAGATATTTAATGGAGCTTTTCGTAATTATTTATTAAACTTTTTACACGTAAGACAAAGATCAACTGACGGATGATAATCAACCCGTGGACTGAATTTTGAACCACACCGTCCCTTACAAACAGTCCCACCACCACTTTGCGTCTACAGGGAATAATTTTTTGGTTCATTCACTCAGACGTTGATTCGAAGGTTTGATCTCAGGATTAAAGGAAGACACAAATTTCGCTGTAAGAATTCTCGTCATAGATATTATAGGACACTATATTATTCTACCGAACAGAAACGTCACGAATTATTGAATCTCACGATTATTGTTACTCTCGAAAAAAAATAGTCCACGATATGTATACATTTTTACGTTACGTATTGTAAATTTTGTCCATTGTGTCCATTTTTTTATCTTAAGTGTCACTCATTTAGTTTGTATATTTAAGTACTATAAATTAATAGAATGCATAAATCATGAGATTACTTCGTTATGATCACGTGATTCTCTTTAGAGAAAACATAACAGATCCTTAAGAAACTTGCATTGAAAAACTTAATTAAGGCAATTCATTATAATTCCAATTAGACAAAATTCCCATCAATCTTCATTTTATAATTCTGATTTTGTTTTTCGATTTGAATTTTGAATGGATAACTCATTTTTTTACTTAAGATTCAATAAATGATATACAAGAGAAAAATAAGGAGTTTTTCTTTCTCATTAAAATACCTTTAAAAGTAAAGACCTCGAAAAGAAAAGAGCTCGAAGAAATTTTTATCATAAAATATGAGCAAAACTAACAAGGACCTCTGAAAACAGAGGTGGGATCAGGTGACAAGGAGTAAGCATACTTTGCCGATTGGTCTCACGTGCCGCGTGCTCCTCGTCATGATCGGGTGAACGGAAAAATCCGTTGTAAATTCAGTGTGAAAATAAGGGCCTAACAATCTGTATGAAAGATTTCAAGATTTCACCAAACGAGATTGTTGATTTCCTTGTATCATCATCTTATATGTCAGTAGCCTGACTCGTTTTAGGAATTGTTCTTATTTAAAAGTGCTCTTGCGTTTCGAATCAAATGGGAAACCTCAAAATGAAGGTGATAATGGTATATTGCTATAAAAATAAAGAAAGTTGATGATAGAAAAGTTGAAGCCATCCCGTTTATCATAATTTCTATAAGTCTAGTTGTCAGTTTGTCATACGAGACAGATGTGTTAGACTCTGTAGTGTCTTTGATTTCGAGTTCAGTGGGATATATCGAATCAAGGTAGGAATGAAACTGAATATTGTTAATTGATAAAACGAGGTCAATATATCTATGTGTCGAATTGAAGGCTTCAACAGGAGACTTCTTTTTATCTAGATCGAACGATTGTTTGTATGTTGTTTCATGACACATTCGAGAAATTTTTTGCTCATAAAGAGATGTCACCATATACCGGTGAATGACTTCAAATTAAGACCTATACTCGGCTTTCAGTGCCATCGAGCATGCACTGAGGGTTCTTTATCGCCTACTTTGACACAAGGCCTCGGTTTTTAGAGTCCCATCCGAAAGACCCGCGACTTTCACTTCTAATAAAGAATATCTATCCGGATTCAATTTTGGTTCTAAATTTCTTGTTCGTATTTGCAATCCGGTGCGATTAATGAATGTGTTGCAATAATGAATAAATGGGGAAAAAAATACATTGAAGTTAATTTAAATCTGGACTATGGAAAACAGGTAACAGTTCATCGAATTCTGTTAGTATAGATAATGTTAAATTCGTCCCCAGAGGGAAAAGGACGGAACAATAGAGGTTTATTTTTTGTGTAGTACGATAGCAAAAAGTGGTGTAAAAAGCCTCCTTAACAGAAGCATATTTAGTCCATTAAAACCACAGACTTGAACCTATTTTTTAAGCTCTACTGGTCAAAGTAGATGCATATAACTCTATTTGTACACAAATTTTTAAAATGAATGTAATTACTAAGGCTTTGATAAAATTTTTGATTCTGTTTATCAGTTTTAGTCTCGCCATGCTGATTAAAAATAGAAATTTATGTGATTTTTTTTTTCAAAACGCTTCTCTTTACAGTTTTTGTCCTATTGAAATAAATAAAGGTAGATAAGGCATCGGCTTTAGCTGTGGCCGATATTAGCTTCAGTGCCCAAAAATTATAGCCTTTTGGGTATTGCAGTCCAGCATTCATTGTAAACAAGAAATTGGGGTGTTCACGAAAATAGAGACAGTGGGCAGGAAATAATAAAAGGTTTATTAACGGACCAGTATAAAGGAAAAGTGAGGATATAATGTATATGTAGGTACAATAATAAGGAGTTGCAATTCATCCGTTTGTTCAATTGCAAATTCTCGGGCATTTACTGCAAGAGGAAAAAACCTTAAATACAATTTATTACGAAGGCGTCCATGACACCGCCCATTCTCATAAACATTGAAATAAATGTAGAGAGACCTTTTATCTGTAGAGTTGGGGGGGGGGGGGGCTTAACTTCACTGATTGCATATATATTACCTAAAATGTGCTTCATGAAGGACAATCAACTCTGTCTATTCCATTCTTTAAAAAATAGGAAGCGACTCCATTTTATATAATACTGTATGTGTACTTAAAAAAGCGGGCTTCATATTTTAAAGGCTTTGACGCAGACAACGATGCGCTAATTCATGAATACCGCTAAGAAATCATTTATAAATACAATACGGACATGTATAGCGCTAATTCATGATTTCGCCAACAGACTGCGCTTAATTTTGAATACGTCAATTTATGTACACGTACAGTATTTTAACATCCGGACATGTAAAAGTAATACTTTGGAGGTGTTTTTCAGAGCTTGCCGGGAAGGCCCTCTGTTGTGATTGCCCTCTGTTGTTTTATGACGTAATGAGACACGAGAGATTTTTCACGGGTTTCAAGGATGTAGCTTGAAAGGGGCCTCCGTTCACGGTCTCAGATTTAGTGATCAAGGGGTTGTGGGGAGCGTTAGAGACGCTTTACTTGGGTTACGAAGATGTGAACAATGCTGCATTGGTTATGAGTGGAATTATTTTAAACGTTTCAAACAGGTTACATCCGATTTCAACAAAATTGGTGACAAAGGTATATTTAACTCAGGCACACTTTTTGCAATGGCCACTAAAAATAAAATCTTTTAAAAATGCTCCTCCTTTTACGGATTTTATTACAACAAAACTTGGTAAAAGTATAGAAAACACCAGAATACATAATTCTGTAAATGTAAAAACTCTAAAAAGTTTTTTTTAAGTACAAACCTGTAGACCTATATTTTTTCTAAATCCTCTCCACGTTCTGTTGTCTCATGTCGAAACATTTACACTTCCAATACCTACTCCAGAGGCACTAATATTGGACTCATTTAGTTTGTTTCAGGTACATTAAATTCTACTCTAATGACCTGTGACCCCCTTTTAAGGAAAATTTTAAGGTAAAGAATTTAACAACAAAAGAAACTTGCCTCTTAAAAGTTCGAAAACAATCTTTAAGAATCTTGAAATCATGCCTAGCTCCAGGTCAAGGCATATCAATTCTTCCCAGTTTTATGTACAAAAGAACAAATGATAAAAACTGGATGAATAATCTGGCTCCTAAATAAACAAGCAAACATCTTCATAAAGGGTAGATTCATTGATCAGTAAAAATAAAACAACATACTCGGAGAAAGTACTGCAGTTATCATTGGTATACCTTTCAGGTGTTTTCACTGGGAAAAAAGAACTCTGTCTTAATTCGGAATCCGGAAATGTTTTTTAAGTAGCTATTCAAGGTTGTAAACGTCAGTTTTATATAATTTATTTTATAAAATTAGTACAAAGCAAAGCAAACGACAGTCCAAAAATGTAGGGCGGGTTTTAGACATTAGCAAACAAGATTTATAAAGTATGAGCAATAATGTCTATTTGTGGATAGAAGTAAATTGCTCGATTCATTTTCTTCGTCGCAGTAGTGTCGCTATGGTAATTAGATATTTAATAGTTCCATACTAGTTTCTCAATAACTGCAAATAGATGACAGTGAAGAATGTCCATTCAGAACGAATGTTACTTGAGCATTGTAATGAAATAATTTCAATTAGGAGACAAGCAATATTTTTTATCTCTCTACTCAATCCAAGTGACATGTAGAAATTGATATGTGTTAATACAGACATAGATATCTGTGACCCTCAGATAAGTTCGAAGGCTCTAACAGAGAACAACACTTTATCAAGCAGCGACGGAAATATTTACTTTGCTGAAATCAAAGAGAAGGTTTGTAGGCAATGAGTTGTTGCCCAATCGTCTTCTTTAATGATCAATAATAAAACATTCAGCTTTTGTCATTCATAGAGGGGTTAAAGGGCTAGAAACTGCCTGGTAACTCATTAATGCTCGATTTAACTTTACAATTAGGTGCCACTTCTAATTTCATTGTAACAATATTTAAGACAAGACAAAAGTTTATTCTCATAAATTGTAACTTCAGTGTAGACGGGATATTACAAACAGAAATTTTTACAATAATGCATGAGGGGAAAAACAGTAACAGAGTCAACTCTCTCTCAATTATAACCCCAATAGATTTGCATTGTTAAACAACTGATTTTTGTTATTTATATTAAATAGTTGTTCAAACTTTAAAACGTTAGGATTTGTATAATAATAATAATTGCCCATGCAGTGTAAAAATGCGTCACTCAGGGCCACAGACGCTAAGAGTTCAATCGGTGTCCCACGGATTATCCTCAGGGATATTAAACCTATGTCATATGTGCAATCTTCAGATTCTCAGTTTTGGTATAGAACCAACAATTTATACAAAAGACTGAAGGAATGTAAATTTTCTATTAGAGATATTTTTGACGATTCCTTTTCCGATCCCATGTGTTCTATTTCAAAATGTTCTGTCAAAAACTGTAAAACCTGTGATATTTTGATTACTAAGTCTTCGTTTACAAGTAATCTTACTGGACAGAGCTTCTTTACCAAAACTTGGAAAAATTTAAATTGCAAACCGTCTAATGCTGTCTACGGAATAGAAAGTACCCTTTGTGGACTTATTTATGTTGGTGAAACCAAGGGTTCACTTAATAAAAGAATATAGGAGCATAGATTTCAAATTAACAACAGGGGCCAGCAGCTTTTCTATACAAGCATTTTAATTTACCTGATCATTCTATTTTGTCAATGAAAGTTAGAATTATACAAGAAATTTACCATCATACGAATAGCCTATCACTGAGTATACCTTTCCGTAGACAACGAGGAGAATACTGGATTAGAAAACTAGACACGGCCTTTCCATATTGTAGCAATGACAATGTCGATAGTGTTGAGAATCTTTCAACCCCACAGTGTAGCAATGTGAATGTGATGGGACTTTTTAACAGTACACAGAGACATAAGCGTAGTCATGGACATCGGTCTCACAAGAAACCTATTTTACACGAAGTCTCATTTGATTCATTTCTCCCTAATGTAAATAAACTGTTAGGCCTTCATCACATTCGCACCAAACTTTACTCCGACTTTGTATAGTCTATTTGTAAGAGTCAAGGAAAGTCCATATTTGGATTCTACGACACCAGAATACAGGTTCGGATCTGTGATAATGGATATTGTAAATCATAAGCCCTTTAAACCGCCACGTTTCGCGGAAGAAAATAACACTC